AGAAAGGTATATATGTATATATATATATATATAAATATTTCACGTCAAATATTGTTAATTAAGAATATTACATTTAAAAAAATCAACTTAAATTCATGCCTATTTCCTATGAATAATAATGCCGTTTACTCATAAAGATACTAATGAATTTTTACATGACAACGTTGAAAAAAGCAAAATAATCGATAATTAGCGTATGTTTATGGTATTGGATTGTTAATAAAATGGAATATTTATATAGTAGACATATGTTGAAGACTAACTTTAAAAATTGTTTCTCTACATTCGAGACTAATTGTGCTTATTAGTCAACAGATCATACGGCATCTGTGATAGTCCGATCAGGAGGTATAAAGTAGTCCAATCCGATGAATCGACCTTCTTTTGACGTTTTATTCGACACTGATTTAGCATCGAGGTTGACTAGATTGACCGATCAATGGCGCATCTAAATATTGAAACCTTGATGTCGACGCGGAATTCACATTGTACGCAGCGCAAAATGTCTCTAGGCCTCTAACAACTCCCCGTGTATAGTATATCATATTTTCCTTTGACTTGGCACTATATAATCTATCTATTAAAATGTAGTTTAAGCAACAGCATAGTACAAATTATGAACATTAATTTCATCAGAACTTCATAATCATATTAAATACTTAGACATCAGTCATGGCGACAATTTGATTTCACTGATACTCCCATCGTGGAGGCGTAGTTTGATGAGATGGATACGCGACGGTTAACATTAGGCGTACAACCACAAGCTTCCGCCTATTCAATTAATTAATCATTCATTCATTTATTTTTTATTAAGCCCTCAATACATATGTACAGTAGGCCTATAATTACATACTGTGAATTACGAACAAGATTTTACAAATCTGCAATACCTTGTACGAAGGCCCAAGACTGATAAATACTCCGCAGTTCTTAAGCCTAAAGGCTTATCAACAGAGCCTTCTTAGAAAGTCATATGTTCGCAAAATATCCAGGGGTTGCTTAAAAATTAACAAAATAAGAACAAACTGAGGCAGAGGTAAAATGTCAAATGAGGTTTTTATTTAAAAAAAATATATAATGAACAAATCGTATCTCTTTCAGTTTGCAATAAGGTGTAACTATGTATAATACTCTCTATAACAGTACATTATACGGTTGTAAAATAATAATTTACTATGACTATAAGTGTGTAAAGGTGAGAACAAAATAAGAACATTTTGAGCATGATTTGGAAAAAAAAATAAGAACACTGAGCCTGGGCAAAAAGTTACTTGTTCTTATAAAAAAAAAATTGTATTGTAACTACAAAAAAAAACAATTTGTGAGACCATATTGCAAATAATAGCTTCAAAATTGTCATTTTATTATACACTTAAACATAATTAATTGAGTAGTAAAATAATTATTCTACTTACAAGAACAAAACAATTAAAGCAATTAAGTATACATTAATATATTATAACTACAGTACTTTTCAATACAATTGTCAGTGCTGAGCATTTGAGCGATGAAATTCAAAATATGAATTACTTTGTAATTCAACTTATACACTTTTTTCATATGAACCAGCAAAATTTTGCTTAGACTTAGTTTTTTTTTTTTTGCTGATTTCAGGCTGAAAGTGTAATATTTTACACATTTTTCAAACATAGAAAATGATTATTGTACAGCAATATGTAGGCCTTCTGTAATAACGAAGGTACTACATAGTCACACCTACGACACAAAAGTATATTACCGTACTGTAATAACTACATAATCCCACAAACTGCACATAACGTATACAGTTAAGATTTAAGATTTTGCTCTTATTTTTTTAAGCCTCAGTGTTCTTATAAAAACAAGTGTAATGTTGCTTCAGTAGGAAATCCAATTGAGGTATTGGTCACGCCTTTTATTATTGTATATTTGTTTTAGGCCTACTGCAAATGCGCGAATAAGCGCCGCGGGGCTTATAAAATTTTCGGAGGTTTCAGTGTGGCGCTTATTCGAGAGCAGCGTTTATTCGAGCATTTACGGTACTTGATTTTGAACACGGCAACCCACACTATATTTCATTAAAACAGGGAATTCATAGGTCTAGGCTTACTCTATTAATTGAATTTCTGGCGTAGAAATAGGCTAACCTATACTGATAAGTAAATAGTCAATATGAAAATATCAACTAATTGATGAAAGGTGAATGTAACCAGTTAGCTAAAAGCTTGTGTCCAGATGACTTCTTTTCCAACACCTATCACTAGATTTTTGAAGATTGAATAAATTTCCTAAAGGACAGTCATACCGGTAAAATAGAGTTTCGTGTTTAGATAAAGGGACTTTTAACGTTCAAATTTAAAAATTTAACTTTATTGCAATCATTCATTCACATTGTGATTGGATGAAACAGTTTACAGTACTAAAATTGATAAAAACCTTCAAAATACAGTACATCCAAAAGATAAAAATACAAGACAAACACAAAGATTTAGGAGGGGAAACATCAAAAATTTACATTAAGAAATCTCATTTAGATGATTTAAGTAAGAATAAAATAAGGTCAAAATTCAACATCAAAAAATAAAAAAATCAAATTGCAATTAAAAAAAAATACAAATTTAGAATAAAAACTGTAAGAGGTTATACTGTGCTTTCTGTTATGAAATCTAGAAAAACCCCTCAACCAAGTACAAACAGGTTCCAACGAGACTCATATCAAAAGTTTTTTTTTTTTTTTGTTTTTTTTTTTTTTGCCGCTGGATTACATGTTTTTGTTTAACGATAAGGAAATCCTTAAAGGGGAGTTTCTGTCACAAAATGGAAAACACTAAACGATCCAATTTAAACATTAAATAACTCATTTGAATGATCAAATTATAACTGTCAATTCAAACAAAGATCAAAACAAATAAATACCGTATTCGTTGGTTTCAGGTTTTTACTAGAAAAATATGTACTGTACATCATTTCCCATAAGGTCTCTGCCGAAAATAGGAATTGCATTATCTTTGGAGGTCTATAAACTGGCAAACGGGAAATTTTAAAGTTAGGCCCAAATTATCGTATGATTATCTATTATTATTTATTGAATAATTAGAATTATTATTACAAATATTATATTTCGATTATAATGTTGTGTTTGCGTCATGAAGAATTCACAAATGATTCGGGGTTTTCCGCAGGTATTCAGTAAAATAACACGTACATGTAGGGCAAAACATCAATCCTGTAAAGTATTATAATAACTATTAGTAAAACTATTAACTATACCTAACTGAACTAACTATAGCCGTTAGCAATACTTATGCACATCTATGGAGGTATAAAATGTTAAATATACCCTCCATGGCATATCCAACAAATAAAAGTGATACATAACCTATATCGAACTTGCAACTACATTTAGAAAGAAACATAGTATTTGATAGATCATTTATTAAAATTAATTATATTGCTAAATATCAATACCAAATTATCCTCTGTGGGAAATCATTGCGAAACTAAATATAAACAAAAGAAATTATTCAGGCCAAAGCAGACGCATCCTCATGTTCAGCTCAACAGGAAATGATACGCAAGGTCAAAAAAGGAGTTGAAACCTTTAATGTTTATGTTAGTCACAACTAGATTAAGCAATCTTTAAAAAGAAATAAGCCTACACAAATAAAATGAGCAAGCATGTACATATTATGACAATGCCTAATAACTATATACCATTCATACACAATAGCTATTTTAATTCTTCGCGTAAAC